TCTTAAAGAATTTAGAATTTAATAAATATATTTATTAATTTATAATTATTAATTATCAGATGTTCTAGGATTAGAATCAAGTTTTGCTAAAATTCTTTCTTTATTCATAACAAATCTTGTAATAAACATTTCCATAATTCTTCGATTATATGATATAATATCTTGAGGATTTTTTGGACCACCATTAAAATTTTCGACATAAAAATATTTTTCTTCTTCAGTAGTTTTTCTTTCGATGATTTCTTCAATATCACCAAATGTAAGTATACAAAAACTCATAAATAACTTTATATCTTCATTTTTTACTTTTTCTTTAAATTCACGTAATTTTTGGAATTCTTTTTCAATTTCTTCTTTTGAATGTGACATATTTATTTTTGTTATACAAAGGATAAGGGTTTAATGTTTTTTTTATGAAGAACCAATTAGTTTTATAGATTTTTTAAAGTTTTTAATTAATACTTTTATTGGTTAGAATTTAATAATAAGAAAAAAGTATAAAAACAGTATCACAATAATTTTGTATGATAACATATTATATAAGATAAAATAAAAAATGAGTAATTCAGAATATTCTTTTCAACGATTGAATCTTTTTCTTGAAAAGTAATTAATTTAATAAAATTATTTATGTCTTTATTAAAAAATATATTAATATTAATTTTTATTTAGTATGAGTACAATTGCTGGTGTTCTAAGTTTCATAGAAGATAAGAAAAACAGTAATGTACAAGGATTTTAAAATATTGATTTTTTAATAAAAGTTGAAAAATTCAAAGACCAAAATGTTCAAGCAAGAATGTTTTTTCTTGATGGTGATCCAGTAGTAGAACTTTTTGACATTCCTGAATTTATTAAAGTTAAAGAAATCAATGAAGTTACAAATAAGACTAAACCGATATGACCTTTTTTTAGAAGTAATTATTTTATGATTAATCATTCTAAAAAATATGAAGTTTATTATAAAGATAAAAAAATTTTTGCATTGATTCCTGAACAAAAAAGATATACTATTCATAATTTTAATAAACCTAATAATTTAAAAAATTATGAATTTGAAAAATGAATTACTAAAGCAATTGAAACCATTATCAAATTAGAATAGCAAAATTTATTTATTTAAAATTATACATTATATGTAAAAATTATAAATTATTATATTCTATTTTTTGTTTATATTTTTTATTACGCATTTCTATTCTTTATTTCTTTCTTTCTTCTTTTAAGGTTTTTAGTTCTTCTTCTGCTTTTTTTCTTTTTCTATTATTAATAAAATTATTATTATTATTATTTTATTCGTTATAAATTTTATACATACTTTTTTAATTCAAACATAGTGTCATCTATATTCATTAATTCGATCTCAACATCTTCAATTGTTTTTTTTAAAGGTGTAGATATGTAATGTAAAAAAGAAGATGAATAAGAATTATCTTCTTGGTGGTGTTGTTCCTGTTGTTGTTGTTCTTGTTGCTGTTGAGACATTTTTTAATAATGAAAAAATAAATTTCATCGCTTTTTAATATTAAAGAAAATTATTAAATATACTTTACAATCATTGATGATGTAAAAATGATTGATATTTTTAAAAGTTTAATACAGTATATTATTAATTGATATTAAAGTATTGAGTTTAATTTATTATAGTGATTCTGTGACGTTTCATAATTTTTTCAGTTTTTTTTGAAATTTTTTTTAAAATTTTTTTTTGATAAATGTTTAGTATTGAATATTTACGATTTAATTTTTTAAATACTCAAAATTTAAATACTCAGAATAATGAAGTTTAATTGGTTTGTGATTGTTTAACATTGAGTATTTACGATTTAATTTTAAAATACTCAAAATTTAAATACTCAGAATAATGAAGTTTAATTGGCTTGTGATTGTTTAACATTGAGTATTTATGATTTTAATTTTTAAAATACTTAAAATTTAAATACTCAGAATAATCAAATGTAATTGGCTTGTGATTGTTTAATATTGAGTATTTACGATTTTAATTTTTAAAATATTTAAAATTTAAAACAAAATTTAAAATATATATATTTTAATAATTTTTATTTAATCTCATAATTTTTTAATTTTATAAAAACTTTATAATATAATTAAAAAATAAATACTTTTAAAATAATGGATTTTAATTAGCAAGATAAATTTAAGAATTTTGAAGTCATTACTAATTGGGAAAAGTATGTGAATCCTAATAAACCAAGACATAAACTGAATGAATATCGACTTGTAAAAATCAATTTCAAATTATGTCTCGAAGTTAAAACACAATTAGAAAAAATTACATTTTTATGTGATCTTGATGATTTTAATCTTTTACAAAATTATATATGGCATTATTGGAAAAGTAAAAGTCATAACACTTTTTATATCATAACAAATATTAAAGAAAAAAATAAACAAAAGTCTTCTAAATTTCATTGAATGATTTATCCTAAATATAAGATAATTGATTATGTCAACAGAATTGGGCTTGATAATCGTAAATGTAATCTTCAAAAAACAACACCACATTTAAATCGATTGAATTGTAAATTAAGAAAAGATAATTTATCAAATTATAATGGAATTTCATTTTATAAGAAAAAAAATATTTGGTGTTTTGAATGGAAAGAAAATAATAAATATAAAACAAAATCATTTTTTATTACAAAAAATAGATCTAGTGAACAAGCAAAACAACAAGCAATCGATTTTAAACTAGCTCATGACAAATTAACTAATAATAGAAATGGTTACAGTGTCACAAATTTTTGAAAAATTATTTATAATGTAAAAATAAATGTTTTATTTCTTTATTCATCATGAAAAAAATAAATTCACATCTGATATAGAATTATTATTCAAATAAAAAAGATAAAGATAATTATATTGAATGTGATATTTGTAAAAAAGAATATAAAAATCCAACACTACTTCAAATACTTAAAACACATTTTATTAGAAATTATAAAGATATTTGGAAACAAATAAGAGTATCTTCAGTAATTTTTGCACGATCAAAAGGAAAGAAAAAACATTTTATAATTTGAAAAAAATTTTACATTTTCCAGTAATCAAAATAATATCTTTATCAATTTTAATTTGACTTCCTTCTGTTAGTTCAATATTATCAATATTAGTAATAATATTTTCTTCTATTTGTTCTTTTTTTTGTTTTTTTAAAATTTGATCAGTTTGATATTCATCTTTAGTTCGTTTACATAGTTGAATAGCATTACCACTTTCAATTTCTTCAGTTTCTTCAATTTCATAATCAGTATTATCTAAAATATGTTTTGCAGATATAATATTTGTTGCATTAGGTATTTTTGATAAAAGATTAGTTTTTTGAATTTCTTTTTTATTTTTTTCATATTCGTTTATTGCTAAATCATATTCTGTTCTATGATGTTTGAAAAAATGGTTTTTGAGATTTGTTAAATTAGTATCGATTGGATAAGATGCATTACAACGATTACAAATAATTCTTGTTTTAAGAGAATTATCATGAAAATATGTTCGTATTGGATGAATATTTCTCATTTTGTTCGTAAATTATTTTTTTTTTAATAAAATATCTTGTTCTTAAATAAAAAAGTTTTTGTATTCACTACATATTTTAAAATGTAAAATAAATATTGCTATCAGTTTATCCATCTACAAAAAAAAATAAATTAATTTATTTGAAAAAGTATAAATATCTATTTTATACATGTTATTTTATTATTTATATATTATATTAAAAATGAAAGTTAAAACAACTTACACTAAAAAAACATGTTGTAAAAATTGTCATGAACGTAATAAAAAGTGTATTTATGAAGAAGATTATAATACATGTATAAATTATAATAAACATGATTTATTATGTATACATTATAAACTAGCCAATGCCCATCTTGAAATCACAAGACTTACACAAGAATTAGAAGAACAATGAATCCAAATTGAGAATTTAGAAGCACGTATTTTACGATTAGAACGTAATTACCACATGATCAAAACAAATCTTAAACAATGTCAATTATTAGATATTCAACTTGAACATTTATTAACTTAAT